CCATCCATCCATCCATCCATCCATCCATCCATCCATCCATCCATCCATCCATCTGTCCATCCGTCTATCTGTTTATCCATCTATCTATCCATCTATCTATCCATCCACCGTCCCATCCAACCAACCAGCCATCTATCTAGTGAGAACCATCAGTGTAATGTGCCAAGATACCAGGAATACCAGGCTTCAATCTACTTAACAACAGTCTTCTAACGAGAACATTGTAAAATTTGTAGCATCACATCATAGTTTTTAAGTCACTCTGTGGCACTGGCAAACTACAATCACATTTTTCTGAGTCAGAGGACTCTTAGGTTTTTGGGTTTTTGCACTTTTTCTATAGGTCATCAACAGATCCAGGCTTTTAGGTGAGGTGACTCCTATAAGGAACAAATTCCATTATAAGCTATTAACTTGAGTGGCATTAAAGGATAGACATGGACAGTGATCCAGGAACAGTGTCTTGCTTTTTAATACTTCACCCAGTAAAACCACAGGCAAAAATTCCCAGGGGATATCCTGAAGCTGGCCATCTCCATTCAGATTTTAGCAACATAGACATATGGCTGAGCCAATCAATCTTATTAAATCTTGTTTTTGGTTGGCTCAGGAGAGACATAGATCTGTGCAAATATTCTGCAGAGGTATCCCTGATGTCCCGCCCAAAATCCTGAGCAGAGTCGTGGTTTGTCTGCAACATCTGGTACTTCAGTGTGATGCAGCAGGTTAAAAGAGCTTTGCTGAAAAATGCACTGCTGACTTATCTTCAGTATTCATAGTATTTGAAAACGTCTGAGCAATCTCATATATGTGGCATCTGGAAAACTGCTGAAGCTGGGCAGAGCAGCCAAGAGACAAAGGTGTCCTCATCACAGTGTTGGGGATTAACTCTTCCAAGTAATGAGCTACAGGATGTGTAGGTTTGCTGAAGGTTGATGCTGAATACATCCTTTCAGAGACACGTTATAGCCTGCCTGAAAGGGGGGATGCCAGAAAAGAAAAGGCCTTAGCAAAAGCTTTATCTTTGTTTTCTAGACTCCAGCATCATCTTCACACTAAGCCCTTTTATTTCCAGCTAAGATCTAAAAGTATCTCTGATTTATTTTAAAGCGCGGAGAGAAATAAGTGAATTCAAAACTGATTATGGCTCTGAAAAGGAGTAAAATATGAAAAGCACTTCAGGCTGTGCAGGAAGGAGTCCCTTTTCTATTTTTTTTTTCCTTGGATGCTGTCTTTCTCCTTTTCAGACCTAATTTTGTGTAGAATTTCACTTTTAAAGCAAAGCCTCTTGCACAAATAGCAAAGACCTTTGCAGTCCATGCTTAAGAAATAACTGCATGTTTGGGGTGAAAGAACAAGCTGAAGCTCAGCGGTTATTCCAGGGGGGTACAGTGCTAAGCTATGTTATGTATTTAACCTGATGTGGAAGCCTATGAATGGCTGACAAGGATTTTTCTCTTGTCCTGTTTGATCTGTGGGTGGCTGTTAGAGCTCCTGCAGGCAGCTTTGAGTCTCGCTGCATGCGATGCAGCAGCACCACACAGCGGCACAGGGCAGCTCTTCTGCACTCAGCCTGCAGCATCCATCCAGCCCAAACCCAGCAGGAATAGGGAAAATCTGACCGGTGCAATTGGGGTTAAGTACACATCAGGCTGGGTGGGAGATTGCTTTGGGGTAATATCAGCTTTTCACAAGAAAAAGCATGAAAAAAGGAAATGCAAACCCAAACTTGTAAGATTGCCCGTTGTGATGTTAGTGTTTCTAAAGTGCAGATCATGGATTTCGACACATTGTCTTGGAAATATGCCGCCTATTCTTATTTCAGGACCTTTTTCCCTATTAAAAAAATACAAACAACAAACATGTCATGAATTAAAAAAAACTTAAATAATGCAGTGTGATGGACCGTCTTCTGAAAACCACTTTTTGGCTGTAAACATAGATTACTTAACTTGAAAAACAAACAAAATTCTCCTGCAGTTCTTTGCTAGGACGAGAGGGAATGGCCTCAAGTTGCAACAGAGGAGATTCAGATTGGGTATTAGTAGGAATTTCTTGTCAGAAGGAGTGGTGTTGCATTGGCAAAGGTTGCAAAGGGAGGTGATGAGGTCATCATTGTCCATGGAGGTTTTTAAGGAAAGAGTAGATGTGGTAATAAGGGACATGGTTTAGTGGGCAGTGTTGGTGATAGGGGGATGGTTGGACTGGAAGATCTTGGAGGTCTTCTCCAACCGTTATGATCCATAGGCTTTACTACATCCTTTCCTTTTATGGGCAACAAAGCCTCAAAATCAAATTATTTGTTTTTCTTCTTCTCATTTCAGGTTGGGAAGTAGACAACTTGGGGCAAACTCACGCAGGTAAGGACCAGTGGTGCCAATTACCTCCTACACACCTCTGTTCTCATAAACCATCTATAAAGGACGTGATAATCTCAGATTACTGAAAACTTATTCTGCACAACAATTATTGTGATAATGAATACACGTAGCTCTCTGTAACAGCGAGATAAAAAAATACCAATTTGATATTTTTTAGAATTCGCCATCATCTTAGCCTACAAACACAAAATTGAAACTAATTATCATTTGATGAATGGAAATCATTTTTCGTGAATTTTATCCATACTTCAATATCTATGGATTTCTAAGGATTTCTAGAAATGTAATGCTTAACCTTTATATTTTTTAAAATAAAATTTTTCCTGGTTTGATTTGCTGTCTTTTTTTGATTTGCTGTCTTTTTTTTGATTTGCTGTCTTTTTTTTGTCTTTTTTTGCTTTCAGTAGCAATTTCTAAACTTTATTGCTTCAATCTTGATTTAAACTTACAAGTAAACCAATGTTTACTTCCTCAAAAGACAGAATTAGGAATTTTTTGCCTTTAGACCCAAACAAATAAAAATCAAATGGATTCTATTCACTAACTTCCGCAGAGATCAGTTGGGGTCCTCATAGAAAATGCAATCCAAACAATTTCATACCGGATTTCCACTTTTATAGGTGATTATGACCTGCTGGAAAGCACAGCCGAGACTCCCCTAGGTAAGCAGCACAACCATGGAATGTTTCTCTTTTTTATTTTAGCTCTCTTATAAAGGAAGCTCCACGCTTTCTCTCCTTCCACTTAGGTATTATTTTCTAATCAGTTTTAATGATGGTGACACATTTTCTTGAGCTTACATTTTAACAGTGTTATGAAAATGTATTCATCCATTATTGAGTCTTGTGCTCCAGCAAGACAATTGGTATAAATTATATCTGCCTGCTGAACAATAGTTTAACTAAACAGTGTTGAGGAAACTCAACACCATGATTCAGTGGTTAATCTCCATGAAGAACTGGAGATGAATGTGAATTTACCAAAATTTGCCAGGTAATGCAATGTAAAACTATTGCAGTGATTAAATCAGTGTATTCTGCCACGTGGATGGCGAATGTTCTCTAAAAAGAAGGTCACCATTAGTGTCATAAGCTAATTGACTAAATTGCTCTAAGAATGTGAAATAGCATAATCTTGGCATTAAAAAAAAACTGAACAAATAAATGAAGAAACAAAAGTTTGTCATTTCCATCAGTTCACGTCACAGTACTGCTTAAAGTAAAAAAATAAAAAAGAAGAGGTAATAGCTGAATAAATGAAAACTGTTCTTATGTTTTGGAGAGAAATCAGTGCAGCCAGCAGACCAGCTCTAAGTTTTTTACCTGGTCAGTGAGCTCTGAGTAAAGTAATGGTGCTTTGAGAGTGCAATGAGGGGACATCCCACCTCAGTATCAAAGAGAGTATCAGGAGATGCTTTCCTCTTCTACAGCCAGCTCCTGCTTCCAACGCAGTTTGAAGCTTTTTGGCAGTCCTGGTGAATGCCATTTAGTAGCTACTCATTAAATGAGATTAGTGAAACAGGAGAAAATGAGAGAAAAAGGGAAAAAGGTTTTCTCTAAGCCAGTTTTGAGCCTCCTAGCAAACACGCCTTTCAGAGCGAGGCCATAAATTATTATTGGCACAAATAATAGGAAGAGAAAAATCTGAAGGGGATAATTGCCAAGCGAAGCCACAGTGGGCTTCTAAATGAAGAGATGTAAACGAACTTGCTGTCAGGATAGTAGGATCAGAGAATCATAGACTAGTGATAGTGACAGGGAAGAGGTTCCCACTCCATTCTCTGTTTTCCTACAGAGCAGCAGGTCCCTCGGAGTAGAGCCAAGCCTGGAGATACATGAGTGGGATATCTGACTATAGGGGCACATCCAGCTGCCTCACTCAGATATGCAGTGGCCAGTTTAGATACCCTAGAGCTATCTGGCTTCCACACCCTGTTCTAAAAAAATCACGTTAGCACCATGTTTTCTTGTCAGTCTCATGCAAATGGCTCAGATATAGATCATTACAATAACACAAAGTGCATATATTCAAGCACTGGACTTACTCTTTAGTCATCTGAAGTGCAAATGTCGGCACTGAGGCTGCGTTTCCACTCTGCCTTTTGGAGTCAATGGAGAGACGTGGGCATTTATCTGACCCTGTTTTCTGTATCCACTTCAGAATGAGTTCTTTGGTGCCCTGGCCGTGCTGGTTAGATCTTTTTTTGCTCTTTGTTGACCAACTGGAAGTAGACATCTGTAGTGCCTAGCATAGAAGTAGGTCGTTAAAGATGTCGTTAAAGATTAAAGGTTCTGTTAAAGCCTTTTTTGGGTACTCTAATAGTACTCCTACTGGTACTGTGGACTTGTCTTAAGGGGATAGAGGGTCTATCCTTGGGTTTGCTTCAGCAAGACGTTCCCAATTATACCTGTTGCACTTGACATAGGGGACATCAGCAGAAATTGCACTGAAGATGGCTGGTCTGAACCTTTTCCTCATTATTATGATGCCTGCGGCTTTGATGAAAATGAAACAGAGTCAGACAACCAGGTGGGTGGTATTCTTATAATTTAAAAGAAGTGGGAGTTGGGGGCAGCTTCCTTTTGTCCAGCTTCTGGTCATGTTCTGATTGTCAGATATTTATGGGCATAAATACATGAGAAATAAGACTTGTATCCTTCTTAGCTCAGTTTATGTTTTTGGAATATGAATGTTTGCTGTTGATACAGCTTGTAATGTTTAGAAACATGAGCTAGCCCCATTACATCCCCTGTTGATTACAGAATCCCTTGGCAAACTAGTATTTTTTCCTACACATAGTGGTCACAGAACTACAGGCAGCTTTTGTAGCTCACTGATGCATAAACTCCACAGTGTTCAAACCCAAGAGTCTGCCAACCATGAGGCAGTGCTCTAACACACGTTGAGATACTGGATTGAGAAATATCCATTGAGAAACAGATCCTGCTGGTGCTTCCCCCTGCATGTTGACACAGTGAAGAAGTGACCATAGCTGAACCATTTAACCCTGTGATGTTTGTCTTCCAAGGATTACTACTATCTATCCGTGAAGGCGCTGTACACAGTTGGATACAGCACGTCCCTCGTTTCCCTCACCACTGCCATGGTGATCCTGTGTCGTTTCAGGTGAGCTGGGACAAGAGCAGTGCCAGTGGCTCTACCACTGCTGAAAATAGGCTGGAGCTCATCGACTCCAAACAACATTTCAGCTTTTATACCATATGTCATACGACAAGTGGGAAGCAGCCCTTCAGTCTGGTTGTTCCCCTTGTTGGACCCACTATGGTGGTCATATTTCAGTAGGCTCTAGATGCTGTTGCAGCAACTCTCTCCATTGGACTGGCTCTATTTTGTGTTAATTTGCATGGTTTTGCAGGAAAATCCTCCTCTTGGTTGTGTTTAGGGTCAGAATTATCCACACTCCTGCCCTTCAGATGTCTCTATTCTTAGTACCCAGGTACTTGGAGTTCTGACTGTAGGTGTAGACAGGCCTAGGTTCTATTTCCACAAAAAGAAAAGAAGATGTATTTTTATTCTCCACCACTGATTTTTCCTCTCTTTTATTTCTTCCTCTCTAGGAAGCTTCACTGCACTCGGAACTTTATCCACATGAACCTCTTTGTTTCATTCATCCTACGTGCAATATCAGTATTCATTAAAGATGGAGTTCTTTATGCTGAGCAAGATGGCAACCACTGTTTTATCTCCACTGTAAGTAAGACTAAAATCAAACCCTTTTCCCTTATTTTTTTTCCAGTATGAAATAACACAAAAACTGTGAGGCAGGCAGCAGTCTGTTGAGTATGAGAGGCTGAGGAGCTATTGGAAGGGAAGGTAATTGGTGGTAAACTTCTCTCCCAGTTCATTGTGAATGGGATAGTCCCACATAAACAGTACTGTGCATTAGCACAAATCTTCAAGTTTCATTTTCTGACTTTGGTTTGTTTCTCATGAATCTATGTAGTGATAAATGGGAAGGAAGCAGAGATGGTTTCCTTCATCTGGAGACTGGATTTTCTCCAGAGCCTTATTTGCTATGGATGTTGGGAAGAGTCACCTGTAAGGCATGTGAACATCCAGACACAAGAAAGCAGCCCTGAAAGTCACATTAAAAAAATGAAATTGTTAATATTAAAATTGTTAATATTAGCTATGTATTTGTCTCTGAAGGGGAGCTGTGCAGTGTGTGGTTTCATAGAGAGCAGTCTCTTTCACCAAAGCACTTTTCTATATTTTATATGTGAAACCAAACTCCATTCACATTTAAGGGTAATATTGCTTTGACAAACTAACTCATCTGGTGTAGTGATGATGGAATTACACTGAGTTCCCAAACTGAAATGTCCTTCATCCACCCATTTATAATATAAATTCTCTGTGAGTCACTTCCACAAGAAAATCACACCTGTGTAGTTTCTTAGCCTCTTCTTCCTCATTAAAACTAGTTCCTGCTTTAAATTCTTCTCTGTGTAAAATCTGAAACCATTATAGATCTGCACTTTGCTCATAACTCTCTTTTTAAAATGCCATCTGCTACTTTGTCCTAACACACTCCAAATATAAAACATCTTACAATGAGAGCTCTGATGGCCACATCTTCAGCTGGCACAAACTGGTAGAGTTGCTTTCTGTAAAGCAGCTCTTGTTTTTCTAGTTTAGACATATTGGTTTCAGATTTGCCCTGGAGAATGGGATGGGATGGCAGTTCGGAACCAGTCTGAACTGACAGCCTCCCACTTTTCCAGACAGGAGCTCCCAATTTATATACTAATTTTACTCTGACGTATTGAAAAGTCACTTTGGTAAGTCTGGTGATGTCTCACTGGTATGAAACACTGCCAAGATAAGTGTGTCCTACAATCAGAGTCAGGTTGGAGCTCAGTTTCCACTAAAGGCTTTGACATTTTTTTCCCTTTTCTTTTGTTCATTATTTCCCCCAGTGAATGAATGAAAGTTTCTATCATTTTGCACAGCAAACTGCTCTGCTTTCTCTACACTTATGTGAACATTTCCATTATCTTCCTCTGAGTGACCACGTCAGAAAGTGCAATTCTCAAGTGTGCACACAGAAAGATGCATCCCTCCTGCTCCTCCTCAGGGCTTCCCGCATTCTTCCTTCCTTTTCACCTCCTTCCTTTGGTTCCTTAGTGCACAACTGGATTCTTTTCTTGTCTGCACTTAATACTTGGGAGGGAGCTCCAATCTGGTAATTAAAGTCCATTGCCAAACTCCCAACTAATGGAAGAGGTTCTCAGGCTGTCTGCTGGCCACCTCCCACTGGTAAAATTGGCCACCTACCCTTCACAGCTTTTCCCTCTAAGTGGCCCTTGACATTCCTTTCAGGATTTTAAAACTTTATTGTTAAAAGTGTGTAATAGTAGTCCCAGCTGTGTTCTTTTCCGCTAACAGATTTGGAGAGGTTGAAAGCATTTTCTCTGCTAATCTCAGGCAAAACAGCATGAAAATAACTTTTTTTTTTTCCTTGGTTCTCTGCAGGTGGAGTGCAAAGCAGTGATGGTGTTTTTTCACTACTGTGTCATGTCCAACTACTTCTGGCTTTTCATTGAGGGGCTGTACCTTTTCACATTACTGGTAGAAACCTTCTTCCCAGAGAGGAGGTATTTCTACTGGTACACTATTATTGGCTGGGGTAGGTGATATTCCTTGTGTATAACGTATCTCTTTATCCTGAAGGCAGGCATGTGAATGAACTATCTAATATTCCTCTATACAGATCCAAAGTGCAGGTTAAGTCCTTGTTTAGAAGCACCCTGCAAGCCAAACCGTGCTGTGCTTATTTAGATAGACTTGGATTGAAACGTGGAGGACATCACATCACTTGCAGATGTCTAGTCTACAGTTCAGAACTGCCTTCTGCAAGATATGAACTTAATAACAAGTTCTCCAGCTTAATCAAGGCTGAAACACTAAGTCTTGTCCATTCTCTAAGCCTTCCTTTGTGCCTTTCTCCCACCCAATAGAGAAATTGAAAGCACATTCAAAGGGTACCCAAAAATGCCCCTCATACCTGGGTGGCAAATGGAAACTTGCAGTGTTGGGAAAAAGTAAGATTTGTTTCAGAAGATTGACTGTAAGGTGATAACTGGGCTATTACTTTTCATGGTGGTTTCCTGGAGGTAAATTGATTCTGGTAGCATGTTAATGCAAACTGTAGTTTGCAGAAAAATCCATTCATTTTAAAGATGCCTGAAAAAGGTCGAACTCCATATTTGTACTTAAACAACACTGTTTCTGTCATTACCTTGGGGAAAAAAAAAAAACAAAAACAACACAAATTCATGCATAAAATCTACATACAACCCGTGTACCTTAAAGAGTTTTCTTTTGAAAAATAATTTTGCTTTGATGTTGCTTAGATTTTTTTTTGTTTGGTTGATGTTGTCATTGTTTTTTTCTCTTGAGGCAACTGTGCCTACCCAAAAATTCCCAACTCCTGGCAAAGACTCCCTGCAATGGGGGCAAAGGGACAGAGAAGGAAGAGCAGATAATCAGAAATAGCACGCCAAGGCTGGGAAATTATTGATGAAGGGTTTTCAGAGTTCCCTTTGTGCTCTGCACAGATGTTTGATTACACTACTGGTGAAATATAATGTTGTTCTCTAAGAGAACTTGGGGATGAATACACAAAAATGTGATAATTTTAAAAGAAAACGTACATCTTTGCAAAGCAGATACATATTGGTGGTTGAGTTACTTTAGCTGAGCCTGCACAAATTTCTTGTCTGTCAGTGCATCTGGATATGAGGATATTGCAGCACAGTGTCTTAACTGGCAAGGAAAATAATGATCTGTAAAGAAGAGCTACCCAGATGGACTCATTCTTTCATGCAGCCTCAAAATTTACACTCAAGTTGAATACTGTAACTAAGATCTGGCTGTTCAGTTTATAGATACCACTTCATATACACAGCAATCTCAAATGACAACCGTTAATAATACTAAGAGAATTTCCCAGCATGGGCTGTTTTGTTTTTTTCAAATACAGTATTTTGTTATTTCCTGAGTATCTCAAATTGGGTAATGTTTCCCCAGGCACAGAAGGAGCAGTTGGTGCTTTGCAAGAACAGAAGCTCTTCCAGACTCTGGGTTCATCTTTGAACCCTTGTAGGTCAAAAAAAAAGCCCCCTGGCTTACAGCTGCTAGGAAAGTGGTTGCATTGAAGCAGCAGTAGGCAGCAGCTCAGCGTTTTGCTGGGTCTGGATGTTTATCTGTTCCTCAAAATGTGCTGAGCATGTCAGTGTCCGTGTGTAATTAATGAGAACTACATATGGTTGCATTGATCCAATTTTGTCCTCTTAAATATGCGAGGTGCTGGTAAGCACACTGAGTTTGCTGGATGGATAGGGCTGGGCAGCCTGGAGATTCCTCTGCAAATCCCTCCTTATGCCTGCTCCTTATTGAAGGCAGAAATGGCAGTTAGCAAGAACAGCTCTTTCCTGCAGCCCTTTGAGTTTCTCTGTTTTCAGATATTACTCAGAAGATGAAAAGGTTGTGATGACTGTATATGTCTCCTGGATTAAAGAAAAGTGAGTGCGTGAATATTCATATAGCAGATAGTTCAAAGTCTCAAATATGCTTTTTTAAAGTACATTTTTTTGAGACCTTGAGTGTAATTCTGCTGTCTTGTCCGTCTTCAGACTTGCAAATCATTTTCTACCAACAAAATGTCTGTAGTGCAAATAGTTATGCACTATGTAGCATGTCAGGCTCGTGCCTGATATTTAAAGAATTTTTTATTACTTTTATGCATCTGGGTGCACAAATACCTTAATGTTTTCTAGGTATTCTCGCGTGAGAAAAGCAGGCATCAATTTAAATTACAACACGCATGATTTCTTCAATCCAAAGCCTATCATTTCATTTCTTCTCATCATTTTCTTTTCAAATATTTCTGTGTACACTTTGTGACAGAAGGAAGGCTTCATCCATCACGGAGGTCTAACAGGGGTATTTTTATGTCTGAGAGTGGGAATATGAGATTTGACAAAGGCTCACTTAAGCGGATCCAGCTGAATGACTAATTAACATGACATCAATGCAGCTTTGCAGAATGTATGACGCATAATTGTTCCTGTCAGCTCATGACAGTCTTGTTCACTGCTGCATGCTGGAGTTATCAAGGTCTTTTGTTGTGTTTGCTTTTCGGTGCTTTATCTTTCCAGTGGTACCTCAATAAATGACCACTTTCCATTGGTACCTCAATGAATGACTGCTTTTCAGTGGCACCTCAATGAATGACCTCTTTCCAGTGGCACCTCAATGAATGACTGCTTTCCACTGGCACCACAATAAATGACCACTTTCCAGTGGCACCTCAATGAATGACCATTTTCCATGGTACCACAGTAGATGCAGACATTTTCCCAGTTGATTTTCTTTGCCATAAAAGAGAGAAACAACTTACCCAGACTTTTCCTGCAATAAAGCATTTGCTTTTTAAAATATTTCCACTGAATAAACACTGTTTTTGTACTTTCAGATGGGAAAATGAATCCAGGCTTCTCAGTGGATTTTTGGTTTAATTTGTACTTTAATGTATTTTTTAAAGATGAGGGAAATCTCAGAAGTAGAAAGGAAACGTTCTTGTTCCCAAGGTTTGGGTTTGTTTTGCTTTGGTGTTTTTTTAAATCATTTGTTCTTAGTTTTTTTTTTTTTGTTTTTTTTTTATTCTTACTCAGGAAGAAAACAGAAAAAATTCCTGTGAATGAGGGAAAACTACTCTCTACTGATTTCTATTGGGTGAAAGTAAAGCAAAAGTTTCTTATTTACAATAGCAGGGAAAACACAACATATGCAAGTCATTTACAACAAAAGCACACAGGAATAAGAAGAGTACAATAATACCATTACAGCATCTGCCACTCTGCAATGATTGCAGGGTTATAGGAGCTCTAGACACAGAACCTGATGTCTCTGCTTTTGTTTTGCACAGGCTACGTTTTATTGTTGAAGCATCAAAATGCAAGACATGAGCTTTGAGTAATAATGATATGAACATTATTCTTTTCTATTACCAACTTTATTCCCATCGAAGCTTACCTGTCCTCTGACTGAGGTGGATGTTTCTAGAGCTCTGAATGACTGCAGTGGGTTGTGTTGTTTGGTGTGTGAGTGCTCTCAGGGATAAAACCTTAGTGGAGGAGCTGCTAAGAAGTGCTCTCTGTGAGTACTGACTGTTTCTAGGCTGATAATGGCATCACTTGTCTTGTCTTCTGCAGGCACCCCAACAATTTGTGTCACTGTCTGGGCAGTGCTGAGGCTTCACTTTGATGATACTGGGTATGTATCATGGTGTGAGAACACGTTTCAGGACAGTGACAAAGGGGAAATGGAAATCTAGTGATCAAGTCACACACACAAAAAAAGCTGAGTGGTGCTGTTGACATGCTAGAGGGAAGGGATGCCATCCAAAGGGACCTGGACAGGCTGGTGAGGTGGTCAACCTCATGAAGTTCAACAAGGCCAAGTGCAAGGTCCTGCGTCTGGGTTAGAGCAATCCCAAGCACAGATACAGGTTGGGTGGAGAATGGCTTGAGAGCAGCCCTGAGGAGAAGGATTTGGGAGTGTTTGTTGATGAAAAATTGACATGAGCAAGCAATGTGTGCTTGCAGCCCAGGTCAACTGTAGGCTGGGTTGAAGTGTGACCAGCAGGTTGAGAGAGTTGATTGTCTGCTCTCATGAGACCCCACCTAGAGTACTGTGGATTTCCCCTTCTTGGAAGCATTCAAGGCCAGGCTGGATGGGGCTGTGAGCAGCCTGGTCTAGAGGGAGGTGTCCCTACCTATAGCAGGGGGTTGGAACTGGGTGATCTTAAAGGTCCCTTCCAACCCAAACCATTCCACAATTCTGTGAATTAATTTCCTTTTCCATTTCCAGCGCTGATTTGAGTTTTGAAATAGCTTAAGCCAAGCATTCAACCTGGAGTTCTTATTTATTTATTTATTTGTTTGTTGTGTAGTCATTGAGACAATACTGATGTCCTTATTCCTCTGGTGAAATCATGAAGGACATCTGTTAACATGCAGCTGACCCAATAGCTCCTGCACAGTTAATTATGGCTTACCTGATCTTAGAATTGCAATCAGGTGAATTGCATGTATGATTGCCTGCTCCTCTCCAACTGATTATGAGTAAAGACCAAGTGTTAAGTTCAGCTCAAGAATACTGCAGATATCTGATGAGTGAAATTTGCAGGAGGAATTGCTGAGCTCCAGTTTTCAAAAGGAATTAGGAGTTTATCCTGTTCTTGAGAGTTTTTCCACAAACCCGATTGGGGAGATGGGTAGGAGTGAGGCAGAAACCCACATTTAGTCTTCTGCGTTAAAAATAAGTAAATAAATAAAATTTAGGAGATGCAGTAACTTAACAAAGAGCTTAAGAGGATTGATTTTTCCTGAATGGTATATTTTGGTGGGAAAAAATCTACAAAGATCTTGCATTCTTTGCTAAATAATCTGAAAGAAGATCTGCTCACAGAGATGGTCTTGTCCATCCAGGTAGACTGACTGGTACGACAGTGCAGCAGGCATATCTGGTAGGAAGGTATGCACCCTAAAAATACCGTGGGATCCATGTTTCTTTTCATGACAGCTATGTTTGAAATCAGTCACACAGTAGGAAAAATGCTGGTGAGTGAGGGATTTTGACCACCAGTTGGAAAATCCAGTCATGGTCCTTTGAAAACCTCAATCTATGTGAATGATGTCATTACGTACCCAAATCCCATCTACAGTAGATTTAGGCTCGTATTTAAAGTTCTCCTTTTATTAGAGACACTTGGAACCAAAATTTGCATAATGCTCACTATTCTGCCAGGTTGTTTTTCATCCTTGTCCTATCTTGCTCTTTTTGGAAAACACATAAGGCCTTTCCTCCACTGGGGATACCAGTGCTTTGCCCCAGTGTTCTCTTTTGACATCAGGACAAATTAAATTGTTTATTTCCTTGGAAAACAAGCCAGAAACCCCCCACTGTGACATTATTATGATTACAACAGAAATCCTAGATGCATTAATTTCCTTCAGAGCTCAACAGACTTTGTGTTTTGCATACGGGGGGAGTATCTCACATAAGGAAAGGAAGAAAAAGAGCAGAAAACACATTTTCCTCTCTTAGTTACAAAAGCTGTTTAGCATGCAGCATGTTGGGTCAGATTCTAGCTGATTGTCTCAGTGGTTACTTGTTAAAAATCAGCAAGCATTGTTCTGGAGGTGGGGGAAAAGCCAGCACGAGCCCGAAAACATTGCAGAAATTAGTGAACTGGGAAAGCACAGTGGCAAAGGCATGGACTGAAATACAGGCTCAGAGTCTAAGTTTCCCCCTGCTTGCTCCTTATGAAACTGGCAGAGTTCCCTTGATTTCAGCTTGTGATTCACATCATTGTAAGCGACAAGTCTGTGGAGATAAATGCAACTGTCTGTTTATCCAGAGCAGTGCTACTGAATTAAATGCAGTCATTCCAGATCTACACCAGGGATGTAACAGAGATGAGATTTTAGCCTTTCCAAATGGAAACCACATCCCTCTCTCATCTCACTGGCTCTCTTTTTGTCATCCATCCTGAAAAACAGTCCTCTGATCTTCACTACAGCAATGCATTAGTAATGAAATTCGGTGATTCTCATCAGAAGATGGTGTTTTTTTCCACCACATCCATCCTATAGATGTCACATGGGCTGGACCCAAAATTTCTTAATAAAACCCATGTGTAAGCATAAGCAGATGAGCAACATCTACAACGTAGACGTTGACAAGTTAGTTTATGTAGACATCCTGTGGAAGAGTCTGTTTAGAGAAGAAAAGGAATTTCTAGGAGAGAATATATCACTTCAGAGTACTCATTTAAAACACAGCAGTGGAAAAGAAAAGAAGAAAAAATACTCACCCTCCAAGCACCTGCTTGTCTCAGCTGGAGTCTAAGCTAATTAGCTGGACTGGAGATATCTTCAACAGATGACTAAAACAAGAACAACTGAGTCCATCCTCTGTAATTTCACATTTCTGAGACAAAGTGACATATATTAATGCCTATTTATGTGAACAGAATATCAGAATTTGCCCAGATTCTTCCAGAATGGTTTGACTTGCTAAAAATTTTCAGGTTGCATTAATATACCTCCTGGAGAGGCTGAGATTTGCAAATAATGAGGAATTTTTAGGAGAAGGAACCTGACCTAGAAATGCGTGCAGAGGTTCAAAAGTAGTTACTGAATTTAGGTACTTTTATTCTATGGAATACAACTGTGGATAGCAGAAAGAGTCTCATTTCAGATAGATAGGAGTCTCATTTCCAGACTGTGGGTTCCCTCGGAACACCAGTCCCCTTTCAGATACCTATATGGGATATCAAAAGTGAGATAACTTAGAAATGCGGCTTTGAAAATCTCAACCATCAGTCCTGTAGATTTTAGGGAGATTTTAAGCTTTTGGACTTTGGGCAGAGAGAAAAGTATGTAATTTTGTGCAAATGGAACATCCCATCTCTCCATTTGCTTCCTTTTCCCCTGCTGTACCAGACGTGTAGACCTGAAACAAACCTATTGTTTGTTTCATGAGAATCTATAAATGTTGCACTTATTAATTCAACTGAAACATCTAAACTAGACTCATAGCTCAGCTCCTTGGACTTTCTCTCACTTTAACTTGGATGATGGAATTTGAGCTTTGCTGCCTGATGCTTAAAGCTGTGTATAGTTATGTTTAAAGTACAGGTTTTCACT